GGGCAGATATGTGGGTAGGTGGGTGGGTGGATAGGTAGGTCGATATGTGGGTGGGTGGGTGAGTGGGTGGGGGCAGAATGTGGGTACAGGGTGGGTGAGTAGGCAGATATGCTGGGTAGGTCGATATGTGGGTAGGTGGGTGGGTGAGTAGGCAGATATGGGTAGGTGGATATGGGTAGGTGGGGGTGGGTGGTGGGTGGGTAGGTGGGTGGATGTGGGATATGTGGGTAGGTGGGGAGCAGATATGTGGGTAGGTGGGTGGGTGGTGGTAGGTGGGTGGGGGTGGATGAGTAGGCAGATATGTTGGTGGGTGGGTGGGTAGGTCGATATGTGGGTGGTTAGGAAAGTATAGACAGACAGGAGAACGTTTGGATGTGAGGTCAGTCGGGGAGGCAAATATGTTGGTAGGTGGATTGGTGTCACGTCTTCACCAGTGGTGGAGGTATTGTCCCCATAAACTATATCCACATGTTTCATTTGGCTTTTAACTTTGATGTCTAATTATTTAAAGTCACATTCAGTATTCATCATCTCTGTGTTATCAGATATGTATAGACAATGTGGATATAAGATAGGCAGGCATCCATGAGGCAACTTTCACAGGAGAAACCAACCGACAGTGGGATTCTATATCCAGCAATGAGATTCAAATGTCAAGACTACATGGTGATCAGTCTTGATTATCTGCCAAAACAAATTCCACTGAGATTAAAGGGAAAATAGTGATACAAGTATCAATTGATCGCTTAAAATCAGTGAAGACAACAGCTTTGTACAAAAATACAAGCATGTACTGTCCTATATGTAGGACCCACCACTCACGTGATTTGCATAAAATATGTGTTTGTTGGTTAATGCACATCAGACAATAACTGTTGCCATAAGATGCAGGCCTACCAAAGAAAACTTTCCCACTGTGCAGAAAAACACAACTTGTTTAGTTGAAGAGCCTGCACTTTCCATTGGAAGAGGAAGTGTTGAATGATTGGACAAAAGCATATTATTTTGACATATTCAATACTTTTTTCTATCTTGTTTAGTTTACGATTCAGCAATTATTTTGACTGCTCAAATTCACTTTTTCCAGGTCAGACCATAACGTGCATGTGCATAGAGGTCAAAGTTCGCTGATATAAAAATGTTGATGTTGCAGTTTCTGTTTCAATAGTTTTGTTTATGTTGCTACCGTTTTGGACTGTTTCAATAGGGTAGGTAATATGTTTTATGTTTCAGTATTTCCACGATTAATGTTCAGACATGACTTTCTGTGTTTTTTGACATGCACAGTGGGAAATCCTCCGAGTTTTGCCAAACATTATTTACATTTTTATTAGGCCTGCAATTTTATTAAGGAAAACTTCTTGCAGTTTTATTGCAATACATTAAAGTTTCAGTACTGTTACCCGCTTTAGCTACTGTTTCAGTAGCGAGGTATTATGTTTATGTTGCTATTATCACTCTTCATATAGCATGATACTGTGGTGGCCATCATTTTAGTTCTCATACATAGTCAGTCGTGATATCTTATAAAATAGAATGCCAAATATAGCATATGTTGCAGCAATGAAATCACTTAAATTATGTATGTACCAGATCCTTGACTACCTTTGTACATTTTAAGCATGGATTCAAAGAATGAGAAAAACACAGTCAAGGCTACTTGCAAGTGTTATAAACAAACATGATCAGATTGCATTCCGTAAATTTGTTTAGTTAATCTAAAAAGTGGGACATTTAAACAAGATTTAATTTTTTAAATTCACAGTTGGTTCTGTGTCTATATATATCAAAACGTTCAAGGTAAGAAATATCCTGCCATCAATTAAAAAAAAAATGAGGTTCCAAACCCAAATAATTTCTGCTGATTGAAACAGTTGCTTTTGTTAAGAATTCTATTTTGCACAATGAATCCTTCTGACAAAGAAAGATTTACATGAAAAAATTAAATTCATAAGTTAATGTCATAATGTGATTTTAGTTAATGTAACAAATAAATAGATGAGATTTTAGGCTTAAAATGTGAAAAATGAATTTAATTGAATTTAGCACACTCACCTACACTTAAGTTGTTTGGACAGGCACACACCAGGTGGTCTCATGCTGCAAGCTCCACCCCACTGCAAACCACCACCACAACAGAGACAGCTGTAAGGAGCTTGCTACAGCATGCCGTCTGCTTTTGTTGGACATCACAGAAATGGCAGAGAGAGATCTCAGGATACTTTACACAGTGTTACTCAGACATTCATGGAAGAAGGCAGGGTTCCAGTATGAAACTGTCAAGGTACCTGATGGAAGTTTTACTTTTTGGTTCCTACAGTAAGCTAAAAGGATCAATGATACTAATGTCCCACAGATTTGTCAGCAACAGTTACTGCCAGAATTTACCTCACCAACACATTCTGCACTGTTGTCAATACATTTTTTGAACAATAATTCATCAGTTTTCATAAATATGGAACAAATGAAATTTAGGAATCATATACTTGCAAGAGTTTGGCTTTCAGAAGTTTAGTTTTTGGTGGTATCATGATTAGTAAAATGTATATCATTTTTCTGAATGATTGAAACAAAATGAACATGCTATTTTGTTTACTGGCCTAGTGATTTTGTACTTTTTATTGGGATGTATGACAAAGGAATGTTATCATCATAATGACATCCCAAAATGTATCTCAAACTCACCATAGTATAAAATAATTATTTTTTATTTGGAAGAAAATCATAGAAAAAGTGCTGAGATTTTAGACATGTACATCTCACCTGAGCTCCAGTAAATGGAAAATTTATGAATACTTTCATGATCTTTGTATAAGGCTTTCGTAATAGGAATGTTCAAGGAGTAATAATCACTTTCATCATCTAAGAATAATTGTACTTTATCTAAAATTGGAACATAAATATCTTGATTTTTTATCAGATATTCTACTTGTTGCTTTTTCAATAACTGATTTCTGAGATGTAAACTTCATGTTCAGGAAATGTTTCTTATTGACAGTACAGTCAAAAATATTAAACATGTCAAATTATGAATATTGTTTTCTTTAAATATATTAATTTGTGTCTACTCCAAGAGTTCTTTTGTTTAATTTTTCTCAAATTAAGAGTTCTTCTAGTTCCTATGCCAATATTTCTTTCAATTCCTTCTTGTCATTTTCCATGGAGAAACACCAATTGTGATTTAAGATTGTAATATTTTATGCAGTGTAAGCTTTCACCTAGAAATGGACATATACATATCTATACATATATGTTTATTATGTATATATTTTTTACAGATTTTTACATTTCTATGACCACTTCTACTCCTTGGGTTCTATTGTAAGATAAAAATTCTAAATTGTTAGTGTCACACTAACTTGTGAGCAACAGTTACTGACAGAATTTACCTCACCAACACATTCTGCACTCTTGTCAACACAATTTTGGAACAATATAAATAGTTTCATAAACAGTGAACTGATGAAATTTCGGAATCATACTTGCAAAAGTTTGGCTTTCAGTAGTTTAGTTTTTGGTGGTATGAGGTTTAATTAAATGTTTCTGTCATTCATCAGAATGTTTGAACCCAAATGAACATGCTATTTTGTTTGCTGGCATAGTGATTTTGTACTTTTTATTGGAAGATGTGAAAAAGAAATATACCATCACAACGACGTCCTAAAATGTAGTTCAAACTCAGCAGAATGTAAAATGATAGTTTTGTATTTGAAAGAAAATCAAAGAAAAAGTACTGAGATTTTAGACAGTACATCTTACCTATTCTGCAGTAAATGAAAAATTGACAAATACTTTCATGACCCTCCCATCGTGCTTTGTGAAGCTGGGCAGTTGTGCTTTAGGTGCATTTCATATTGTTTTGTGCTCTGTGATATTTAGAATTTGTACCAGGACTTTACCCATATTGGCAGCCAGGTGTAGATAAAAGTTACAAAAACATTTCAAAATTCATGCAACATTTCAGTTAAAACAATATCCATCTGTGTGATTTTGACTATGAAATGTTAGGTGTATCTGAAATGGTGAGCGGGCGGTGGGGTAGCCTAGTGGTTAAAGCGTTGGCTCGTCACGCCGAAGGCCCGGGTTCGATTCCCCAGATGGGTACAATGTGTGAAGCTCATTTCTGGTGTCCCCCGCCGTGATATTGCTGGAATATTGCTAAAAGCGTCGTAAAACCAAACTCACTCACTTTGTGAAGCTTTATTCAATAATGGTTCAAGCAACTATGTTTCTTATGTCATCTTAAACTTATTGTGATTTTTTAAATGGCATAACACCATATAGCAGAATATATTATTCAATACATGTATATCATTTAGAGCTAATGGGGATCCTCTGTGTGATGTACTTGGGGCTGTTCCTTCAGGCTCTGAATAAGAGGCTTTCTACGAATACACAATGCCATCTAGGAAATGGTCAAATGTAACCCATGTTATATTTCGGATTACACTTTCTCAGTAAAATACAAATTCCAGTTTTTTGGGGGGTTGAGTCCCATCTACAGTCTGTTTGACTGGAAAGTGTCCCCATGAATTGCTAAATATATCAGTTTAGAAAGGTAGTTTATAAATATTACGAGTCAAGATGTTCATGAATAACCTATACCCAAACACCTTTTCATCTATTAGAAATTGTCATGCATCACAGACAGTTGTTTAACAAACTATCATCATTATAAACATGATTGTTGACAGCTGGCGCGGAGGGCCGCACGGGGGAATAGATACAAATGATCCTAATTGAAGTTGAGTTTTAAACATGCTCCTTTGATTAAAACAGACTGTTCTTATAGTCATCAGAATAAAGACAAGAGTCCACTTATTGAGTGGCAGCAGCTAATCATTAAGATAATGAAACTACAGGTGATAATTAATAACAAAAAGTCTTCTTTTTTTTTCAAAATATATTTTATTTCAGTATCTGAGTGTTAATGTTTTAAGGAAAATATGTGCACATTCAGGGAATATGATATTCCTGTGTGTATAAATCCTTCCTTGTTATTTTGTGCTTAAGATTTTGCACAATGGTGCAGCATCTCATCTTCTCTATGTACCACATCACTACATCAAACTTCAGCAAGAATCAGTCGGCATACTAGTATACAGATCTGGTCATTCAGCTTTGAAGTCCAGTGAATTTGAAGATCCATGCCCATTCACATGGCATTTTGTTGATGGGGATTGGTGGAATCTCAATATTAATGCCACCTCCGGCACGATCTTGGTAGCTGAAGTTGCCTTCATATCCGAGCAGACTGACTGTAGTAGCTGCAGTTGCCTTGGGTGCCCCGAGCTGAAGTACTGCCTCCGGCCAGTTCAGTACAATAGCATAGACATTGCTGTCCTTCTGTACATACCTGTGGATGACACACACCACTGTTAAGGTATTGCTTAAATAGTATGTAACTTTAGTCACTTGTCTGAAGACATACAGTTACTCTACTTAAAGGTGACATGTGATATCAGGGATGGAAATAACTTTAAAATTGATAGTGTACTCCGGTCCAGTGGCACATGTAAAGTCACTAGCCCTGATAATTTTTCCACTATACCGACCGTTTTCTTGCTGATATTTTAAATAAACAACATAATTACCATTGGAAAGTCAACTGGACACCGGTACAGTGTGATATACAAATTTGCTTGCCCGACAGAAAAAAACACTTGACTTGGACGTCGGGCAATGGGTTATTTCCATCCCTGGATATAAGTACAAACATTATGTATGAACAACTTGTTTATTCAGGTTATGTTCACAAGTTGTTCATCCATAAAGATTGTCCTTATCTGACTCTCCAACTACTAAAAGATGCCACTCAAAGGAGACTTGTGATATGAAAAGGGACACAAACTTGGTGGTTAATACATGCTTTATTACTTGTGAAGAAATAGAGGTCTCATGGGTGTTTGAGGGATCCAGTTGAAAGCTTTAATATGTTCAGAAAATGAAAATAATGTGGTACATTTCTGGGAGAAGTGTTTAATTTTGTTGGTTCATTTCAAGATACCTTGATATATGTGACATAAGCTATACCAGTTCTTTGAAGGTACTAACAAACATTATGATTTTGTTTTGTTTTTAATATGGAGCATCTGGATAGCGGTTTGCATGTCATGCCACATAGTAGTGTTGGGAATTGGTTAAAATGTCATAATTGATGATTGGTTCATTACAACCGATCGAACATCGAAAATAATTGGTTAGCGTCATTTATAAAAGTTTCCTAGTTTGTTTATGCACAAAAATTTAAGACTAAACATGTAGTTCTTTTTTAGTTTTTGTTTGTTTTGGGGTTTTTTCAAATTGCACAAAATGCATTTGCAAATTTCACATCTTGAATGGATGACTAGTATGTCAGGAACATAAATTTCCTGGAGTCTTTAAGATAAATTCAATCCTGACTTGGAACGAGCTTGTAGTGCCTGTGAAATGTAACAGCAACCTTGTGAAAAATATTGTTAATGTAAACAAGTGTTCCAAAATTGTTTGTGTTCGTTATGAGAAAACATGATCGATTGTTTGGTCATTCAGTCATTGCTACCAATCTTCCATTATTCCAATTAATCGGACCACCACTACCACATAGTGTCCCTCACATGAGTTCTTTCTCTGAGAGAATACTGTTGTATGTTTCTACAAGTACTTTATAAAGCTCCTTCACTTATGAATTAGACAGTTGATTTGAAAGTATGCACAACACTCACCATACTCCTTGGGTAACTGTATCATTCTGGGAGGTCCAAGGTCGGGTGGAATATATACCCTCTCCATTGACACTCAACCAGGAACCAAGTTGGCGAAATCTTTCTTCATAGATTGCGCTGATCATACCATATTTGGTTGGGCCAACATTGATGAGCATGTTGCCTCCACAACTGACAAAATATAAATGAATGAAAGTTATTTAAAATGTCTTTGAAACTTTTTTCAGAAAATGCTGCTCAAACATATGTATTACGTTTACCCAAGAAAAGGCTGCCAGTACTGTTTGTCCATAGAGTTCAGATCTGTATATGCATGTAAGGCAATGTAGCTGCAAGAATTGTCACTGCATGAAAGTAAATTTCTTTTGGAGCCTCCAGTTTTCTGTGAACTTGTACAGACTCCTCATGCCTCAACACCTGATGTTAAAACCCAAGCATATGGCCCCTTATTATAATCTTTAGCAGAAGAATGGATTGCATTGTGTAGGGGATTAGTTTACTGGGAACTAGTTTCAAAGACTCTTCACCTGATAGTCTCAGCAAATGTGGCCAGGATCTCTTCCATGTTAAGGTAGGCTGCCAGATCAGCATTACGCCTGAAACCCCATGACTTCTTGTCTATTGTCATGGCATTCTCAAACTTACGGGGTTGAAGGGTTCCTGTAGAAACAAATGGTCAGTGTAAGGAACAGTTTGAGATTGTCTTAGATGTAAGTGTGTCTCTCTGGAACTTTATGATCTTTTCTTCTCCTTAGCTTTGAGTCAAACAGGGTATTGCTTATGAGTGAGTGAGTGAGTGAGTTTAGCATTACACGCTTTAAGCAATATTCCAGCAAAATCATGGCGGGGATACCAGAAATGGGCTTCACACATTGTACCCATGTGGGGAATAACACCGGAGTCTTTGGCACGATGATCGAATGCTTTAACCACTAGACTACCCCACTGTCAATATTCCATAGGACGGCAATAAGCATATAAATGTGCAAAAATCTAGTAAAGGTCTGTTTGCCTGTTTGTTTGTCCGTCAGTCTACCGGTATATTCAACATGTTTCAATTAGTTTACATTAGTTTGAGCAAGTTCTAAGAGCTTTTGGGTCATTTGCTCAGATTGATGTGTATACATGAATGTGTCTGTCTGTTTATGCAAGTGTCTGAGAATAATATATATGCACGCACATACCTGGGTTGTATCTGTCCATGCAGGTGTCTGAGAATAATATATATACACACACATACCTGGGTTGTATCTGTCCATGCAAGTGTCTGAGAATAATATATATACACACACATACCTGGGTTGTATCTGTCCATGCAAGTGTCTGAGAATAATATATATACACACACACACCTGGGTTGTATCTGTCCATGCAAGTGTCTGAGAATAATATATATACACACACACACCTGGGTTGTATCTGTCCATGCAGGTGAGGAAACCTCCATGATGGCATGTAGCATCAGATCCCCATCGGTCGTTGGTCACCACAGTGTCCTTGGTGGGACTGGAACACACAAAGGTCATGATGGGTCATCACACAATCGCCTTCACAGTCATGTTTGTGCATGACGATGGTTACTGATGACATTTACTCCAAATGTAACACAAGAATTCCTCAAGTTAGTAATACCCAAATTATTTTATACACAGGAACAATAACTTCCCAGTCTGTTCAGTCCGGGTTTTTGCATTTTTTTTACAATACTATACATGCTGTGTTTGAATCATACAGAAAGATAACACAGTTCTATGTCTGAAAGTGATTTTATGAATAAAACTCTTGTTGAGGAGATGGAATAAAATATTAAGCTGTCATGAGGTTTTCCAGTGATGTGTTCTCACCTGTCATTATAAAGCCAGGCCAGATATTCTGCAGATTTCCAGTAGGAGGAAGGTGCCTCCCAGTCTCCATCAGACCAAATCACTTCAGGCTTGTACTTCTCACTAATCTCAATCAGCTCTGGAATAGTCTTCTCCTGCAATGAAAATATTAATTACACTATACATGGTTTCAAACTTTTAAAGATTTTTCGTAAATCATATGTCGGGCATTGGAAATTGTTTACTGCAGAATTTCATTTGAGAAATTCTTCAAGAAACCTTGACATTAAAATAAACATTGATGAGAGAAAAAAAGATACATGTATTAGTCACTGAAGTGGAAAGAAACTGCCTCATTTAGGTGTTTGCATAGGGATTCAGGGCAACAAGAAGTCTCCACAAGTCCGTATGACAAAACAGATGACTTCAACCCTTGATATTGATCTTCAGCAGCTCTAGCCTTTGGCGTCCATATTTCAAACCTTATGAGATATAACAAAAAGCAAAGGGACTCTCACTCAAAAATTGCTTCCTTAAGGTTACAATATTAAAGTATTCATTGAAGTTTTCAAAATGTTATATGGTAGACATATGAATAACCATAACCATTCCATATTTGCTGTATGAGTAAACCCACTGGCAGGGCAGGATACACTCACCTTTTCACAACCACCTGGTAGTATCACTGTTTGGTAACACAACAAAACATAAATGCTCTTGTGCATGTGGTAATTAACTGCTGCATAGGGTATTTAAGACTTGACACCAATATCAATTCTTCATTGGACAACTGAGGATTGATACCAACTGAGGGCAAGTGGATATACCGGTAAATAATTACTGATGCTTACATTAACACTTCCTAGGGCAACTTGGCATATCAAAACCACCTGATATCTATGATGATTCTTTATCAGGCAGCTGAGTATCATTAACTCCTGACTGGATATCATTAATGCCTGATGCTTCATAAGGCCACTGGATATCAATACTGTGTTATACTTACATTGTATCTTCATTGGGCAACTGGGTATAAATACTGTTAGTGCTTGCATCATTCTTCATACCGAAACTTGGCATAAATGCTTCTATTAATTATGTTTATTATTCTCTGGGCAACTTGATATCAATGTTGTGTTATACTTACATCAACAAAACGGGATGTGGAGAAGTTGTTGGCCTTGTCTTGGAGATACAGAGGGTGGAACCACTCAAACAGGGAGTGGTACAGGCCAAAGCGAATCTTAGAGTTTCCTCGTACTGCTGCTGCTAGTTCACCTGTAAGGAATCGTTTAAATGTAAGTTAAACATATATAGTTGCAAGATGGTGTTTCTGATTACTCATATCATAGATATGATACCTGTGAGTGTATCACTCAGATTGGATTACAATCAACCCCTGGATATTCAGGCTTTAAGAGAGGGGGTAATCCACTTTGAATTGTACAACAGCTGTCACAGAGGCTTAAAGCAAGTTACTTCATTACTTCATTGCAGTCCACCTGTGGTCTACTTATTTCTCAGTTTAAGGAGGCATAAATACAAAAACAAGCACTTATTAAACAAAGAAGTGACATGGGATCACTTGTTATTTATGTGTGATACGCTGATAACAAACTGAATTCCTTACCCACAAGATCTCTGTTGGGTCCCAGCATCTGGGAGTTCCAGTTGAAGGAGACATTGGTTGGCCAGTTGCAGAAACCTTCATGATGCTTGCTGACTAACACAACATATCTGAAAGAGAGTATAATAATATAGAATATAGCATATGATAAGATATAAACTATTAATCATACTCAGGGTAGTACACCCCCAAGTCAATGTTGTCATTCCTATGGGATTTTTGGGGTTAAAACTGGTTCATAGCAACCTATGCTTATCATTACTAACCATATTGATTGGGGGCTTGGGGGCGGTAGGGTAGCCTAGTGGTTAAAGCATTTGCTCAGCACGCCGAATACCCATGTTTGATTCCCCACATGGGTACAATGTGTGAAGCCTATTTCTGGTGTTCCCTGCCATGATATTGCTGGAATATTGCTAAAAGTGGCGTAAAACCAAACCTTACTCACTCGCCTTGTTGATCGTGTTGGCTGACACCCCAATGGCATTAATTGGTGTTCATAACATAAATCACTGGATTGTCAAGCCTGGACAATTATTTAAAGGTAAACATTAAGAAACAATCAAACTCTACAAAACAGTCAGGAAAAGTAAATATAGTCATTGGTTCTCAGTAGTCATTGTATTTTGTAGGGCCATCAACATAAAACATAGAGATTGATGATCATTAACTAAATTGCAATCCATTGTTAATAGATATTTAAAAGTACTTAGCAAAATGCAAAAATGTTCCTCAAAATCAAAATATTTGATGTCAGTGTTAGTGCTTGGATTACTAACAAAAACAGTATTCTGAACTTAACTGAGAAGATATAACTTTGTTGGTTGTTTGCATAAATCAAAATTATTTATTAGCACAATATTTTGGGGAAAATATTATCGATGACACGGTTTTCATATTGATAATTATTATTCATTTTAAATTCTTCCATCAACAACATTTCCAATTATCCATAATTTTAGCCAGCCCTAGTAAATAGCGGCCTAAAATATACAATGAGGCCCTCTGAATGTCAGCGTTAGCCCCAGTTAATTGGGAGATGAACCTGGGGAATCTAGATTTGCTTCATTTAGGGCTTAAGCATTGCAGGGAGGGTAAGGCAGTAGGGAAAATGATGTGGTTCATGTGGTGAGACAGACTAATATGTGTCCTAAGTTTGAACACATACAATGTCCTCAGCTGGAACACTCTTTCAACATGTTTTGTTTGATATAAACACCTTTATATCAGCAATATCACTGTGCATTGTAAATTGCCAGATTGGCCAGATGAATCAATGGTTGATATTAAGAACAACAATTGTCGTCTAAGTACCCAAACAACCAGATCCCAGTGGCCTGATGATACACACTATTGAGTGAGTGAGTGAGTTAGTGAGTGAATAAGGTTTTACACCGCTTTTAGCAATGTTCCAACGGTATCACAGCGGGGACACCAGAAATGGGCTTCACACATTGTACCTATGTGGGGAATTAAACCTGTGTCTTTAGCAAAGGCTTTAGCCACTAGACTACCACACCACCCCTACACACTAGTGCATTGGAGACTTCATCTGACGTGAGCTCCGACTCTAGCCACACCACAATGTAGTAAATGTTTCGAAACTGACTGCAATCTTTGAAATGATAAGCATAAAAAACGACAATTAGAATTTGCTAGTTGATAATTATCTTAGTACAGAAAGATGGACTGTTAAAATGTATTGGACCTGATTTACTTACTGTGCCCCTGATGCGTTGAATATGTTTGCCCACTGTACTGGATCGAAAAACTCAGCAGTAAAATCCCTGGCAAAATCAGCATAAGTCCAGTCTGGTCGATAGTTATCTTTCATGAAAGCAACAACATCCGGAACCTTCTGCCCTTGCCAGAGCCACCAGAACCACTCAGAGCCAAAACTGGGCACCGAAAATATACCCCAGTGGACAAAGATTCCAAGTTTGGCTTCATCATACCATGCAGGCAGAGGTCTTGAATCTATAGAAGCCCAGTTAGGTTCATATCGAGAAAGTTTATCCTTTGCTGTTGGTGTTGCTACACACAGACAGACAAAGGTAAGGAGCAGGGAGCCTTCAAGGAGTCTCTTCATCTTGGGGCCAGATATCATCGACTATCCGCTGTTGTAGCTGTGAGATTATATGTACCTAAGGTGACGTTTGCCATGACCCTGCACATCCACCAGTATCACATCTTGTCCATGCTGGCAGGACATGTGTGTACGCACTTTGTAAAACTAGGTGTGTAGCTCACCTGGTATTCAGAGATAATACCAAGGGCAAACATCTTGTAGACCCACAACATTTGGTTTGAATAGCTATATAGGTCAGAGCTTTAGGTACATTTCATACAGGGTTTTTTCACTATGATATTTTGAATTTGAACCAAGGGCATTATCTTTTTGTCAGCTAACAGGAATAGTCAAACATCTTGTAGACCCACAACATTTGGTTTGAATAGCTATATAGGTCGGAGCTTTAGGTGCATTTCACATTTTTTTGTGCTCTGTGATATTTAGTATTTGTACCAGGACTTTAGCCATATTGGCAGCCAGGTGTAGATAAAAGTTACAAATACATTTCAAAATTCATGCAACATATCAGTTAAAACAATATCCATCTCTGTGATTTTGACTATGAGATGTTAGGTGTATCTGAAATGGTGAGCGGGCGGTGGGGTAGCCTAGTGGTTAAAGCGTTGGCTCGTCACGCCGAAGACCCGGGTTCGAATCCCCACATGGGTACAATGAGTGAAGCCCATTTCTGGTGTCCCCGACGTGATATTGCTGGAAAATTGCTAAAAGCGGCGTAAAACCAAACTCAGTCAGTGAAATGGTGAGCATATCCAGACCCACATGTAGCACAAGCATGTGTAAATAAAAGTCAAGTCATCAGTTAAACAATATTGGGACATAAGGTACAAGTAAAATAGAGAATCGTTGTCACAGACCATTTGTAAATGCACAGTAAATTGTCAATAAATACTGGGTTTCAGTTGGGACACATAACAGTTCAAAGGGTTATCATATTACTGCAATGTTCAGATAATTAAAGGACACTTCATTGAATGTCTAAGGTAAGCTACAAGGACCTTGGGTGAAGATTATTCTGATGTTGTAGCAAGATAACAAGCAAGGGTCAGATGACTTGGTCGATGAGTACTGTATATATCAGTCATCACCTATGGTATGTCTCCTGATATTGAGTGAATTTGCATCTTCAAGGTGTTTGATAAGAGATGGACGTGAAACATGAACATTCTCGTTCATGTGAAGACGCAGAAGCTGTCACCCTAATCTATTCATATCTTAACATTTATCTGACACAAAGGTATGGTCATTTGGCCAATGACAGTTGTGGGGCACTTGTGTAATGATTGGGCCAGTAAGTTGAAATTTGTCAGAAAGAGGCCTACCTTCAGAATCAACAGGGGCCGGTGGGGTAGCCTAATGGTTAAAGCGTTGGCTCGTCACGCTGAAGACCCGGGTTCGAATCCCCACATGGGTACAATGTGTGAAGCCCATTTCTGGTGTCCCCCGCCGTGATGTTGCTGGAATATTTCTAAAAGCGGCATGAAACCAAACTCAGTCAGTCAGTCAGAATTCAACAGCATAAAGTTTACAAACAATTCATCATATGCTATGTAATGGTTTGTGATATTTTGTGCCAGTGAAGCCTTGTCGGTTTGTGACATCTACCTTACAACTGGGATGTTGGGGTCATCAAGTGTTGAAGAGCTCCTCTCATTGATACATAATATCCACAATCCATGTCATAGAGTAAACATAGCAGTGTTGGGAGTTTTCATATAAATTTCGGTAAATAAATGTATAAGAATATAAATAAGTTTGGTCAATGGTGGTGCAGTCTTATAGCATTACAGGTTATACAATATTTACTATTTGCAACATATTTAGTGTTATGCTTAACTTGTGGAGAAGTTGAATTATGGATTGGATTTAATTTAAGTAGTTGCAATAAACTCCAGATTTTGTTTGGCAACCACTGTTTCATATATGTCCACAGGGATGGCAGCATTATTACACTTCTGAGAAAACAATATTAGAGCATAGTCTGCATATAAAATATAATGATGTTGAACACAATTTTGTGAACATCAAGTATCTTGTTCAGTATTTACTACAGGAAATATATAATATATTCGCATTCACACTGCTTAAAAATGAAACTACACTTCACAAATTAGCATTTTACCTCATTATTAAGCTGAATTAATTAATTTGAAAACTGAGTTTGTGCTATCCAATTATGGCTTTGTTAGTCCATGATGGATATGAACAGACTGACATCATATATGAATACATAATGCCATTAAGAAAGTAGTCAAATGTAACATATGTTACAATTGAGATTACATTTGTACTTTTGTTTTGTGTGCTGGCAACAAGGTGTCTGATTATGAGAGTGAGGTGTTCGAATCCTGAATAGGTTTGTTTTGAACCTAACAAAAGTAGTATATATATATAATCTTTACTTGACTGAGAAAGTGTAATCCCAAATGTAACATATGTGATGTGATATAACTGAAATATTGCTTAGCCTGTAACAATCCAAAGTCACTTTTCTCAGTAAAATGTGAGAAGAAGTTGTGATTAATTCTGAAGTTGCTACTATATAACTTCTCACAATTGTTATTATATCAGAAATAGATTTGTAAATGTCCTTAGGCATAACCTTCTGATACATACTGGATTGATGAAGCTATTCTTCTGATGAATCTCTTGTAACCAAGAGTGGGCTGACTGTGTGTTGCTTATTGGATCTTTCTATGTATTGCTGCTGGCTGGTTCGACTGTCCCAAGTTACAAAGATATTTTACCCGTGAAGATCCGGGGTAGAATAGGTCTTCAGCAACCCATTCTTGTCATAAAAGGCGACTATGCTTGTCGTAAGAGGCGACTAACGGGATCGGGTGGTCAGGCTCGCTGACTTGGTTGACACATGTCATTGGTTCCCAGTTGCTCAGATCGATGCTCATGCTGTTGATCACTTGATTTTCTGGTCCAGACTCCATTATTTACAGACTGCCACCATATAGCTGGAATATTGCTGAGTGTGGCGTAAAACTAAACTCACTCACTCACTCACTCTACAAAGACATGTGTATCATTCAGACCTGGCAGTTAAACTACAACTGGTGTACTATGTAAATAAGATTACTGAGTTCATGTTGCCATAATTCCACATCCACAAAGCCTAGTGTAAAATCTTGACCATACTATAGCAATTTTTACTATAGTATGGCAGCTACAGTGTCAATCTTCTGATTATTTCCATTTCTGACCAGGCAGAATTTGAAGAATTCAAACACCATAGCTCTCTATTCTCCACAAGGAATGTGCTGACTCAAGAAATATCGCCATTCCCATCTGATCAATGTTCCCATCATCTTTGGATTTTGATTTGTTTCATCTGTAGATGATGCTTTTCTCTATCAGTACATGCCCATCACAAGCGTTATTCAAAACATCAGTGTAGCTCCCACCATTGTAGTTGTAAATCCCCCTTGTATTATAATTTATTAGGGCGGTGGGGTAGCCTAGTGGTTAAAGCGTTGGCTCGTCATGCCGAAGACCCGGGTTCTAATCCCCACATGGGTACAATGTGTGAAGCCCATTTCTGGTGTCCCCCGCCGTGATGTTGCTGGAATATTGCTAAAAGCGGCGTAAAACCAAACTCAGTCAGTCAGTCAGTCTGTCAGTATAATTTATTAGCCCAGCATAGAGATTTGAGATTATGTCCTATTACAACAGGCAGAATGTCATCGAGTCTCTTGTGTAATGCTCACAGACATAGTTTGTCTGTTAATTCAACACCAGCAGCTCCAGAGTGGACCTACTAATGATGACATTCTTACACCTTTTAGACAGCCAAATACATCTTCTTCCATCAGGATACCTAGACGAGATGATTTTGCTAAAGCTCTAGCTCCAGTTCCAGCAATGGTGTCTCTTTCTTGAATGTGCCTCTTGTGTAGAAATGTATGCTCTGCTATTGCTAAAGTAATAAAGCTCAATGTGATCCATAGCATTCTGTTTGGTTTATGCCTTGTTTGTATCTGTCAATTTTGTTTGTATTGCAAATGTTTTGAATGCTATGCACTTGGAAATATTGTAGTTGTCACAATAACAGTTTCACTGCTTATTGCCAGAAATAATGATATACACAACAAACCCACAATAATCAACGTAGCTGTAGATTTAAACAGCAGTGTTTACACGAGTTGGTGAAGCAGTTCTGTCAGTAACCAGTGGTGTACAGAATTGTTATTGCTGGTAATCTGTCAAACAATCTTCAGTTCAATGATGATAATTTTATGGATTTACAACTTCTTTATTCACAGAATAAAGAATTTGTATATCCATAAAATTATCATCATTCTTCGTCACCTCAACTTCTAAAATGCCCATCAAAGAAATCTTCAGCTTCTCTAGGACCATCCTGCTTTACAATTCATGAAAATTAGATCCAATGTCAAGCAGTTGAAAGTACTGGTTTGTGATGGTATTTTCAGTAGAAATGCTATCGCTCCATACAGTGACCAGGAATTCTAATTCTACAATCTTGTTGTATCCGCTGGTTACTGAGGGTCTGGTTTTCCAATGGGCAAGTACTATAAACTCAGCATCAGTCAGCAACTCACAGGCTAATTTGCATATCACATTGCATATCTCTTATTTGTAAATCCGAAGAGACTGGCCTAATGCATGCTTTACAGTGTGCTCTTCATATTGTTTTGAATAGTTTTATAGATATTCTACAATTGCGTCATTAAGGTTTCTGACAATTGATATTTATACGTCAAAGTGACCGTATTGCTTGCTTTCTGATGACGCCATGTGGAGCCATACAAAGATCGCAAAATAGTGTTACACATTTTCATATATTTTATCAGTGAAAGTAGACCATTTTATCAAATATGTATCATTATATGTGAAGACCATTCACATTGAAGCTGTATAAAAACATGCAATATATTGAATGAACTATGTAAGATGTGAAGAATTTTCATATGGCTTCTCAGCCAGTGACGAATGTATTTATGATGCTGGATGCATGTAACTCTGAATAGGAGAGTTAATCTGGAATCGTGTAAGCATGTATATGCGCACACATGCATGCACACACATGCACGTATGCATGCATGAATGCACACATAT